TGGCTCTTTCATGAATCGACTCTCAGTATCTTGGTTTGGAGCTGGCGATGATGAAGGTGTCATGGAATTTTCACACAGGGATGAAAACATCTCCATCTTTTCTGAGGTCTCTAATACTCCCTTTGGATCTTGGCTTCTATTTTCTATGATCTTGAATTCATGCAATCTCTTGTTCTCTGGAGGGGAAGTGAAAGGCTCAATTATTAGGGAAACCAGGTCTATAAGTGGCTCTGCTGTGTCTATTGTGACCAATAAGTATTTCTTTAAATTTTCTAACTTGTATAATATATTGTCTTGTTCTTTCCTTGGGAGAGCACCAAAAGCGTTAATGAGGCCAGCTTCTGTGCTGTTAAGTATCTCTTCTCTGTGCAAGATTGGTTGACTCCCACTATCATTCTCTTTCTTTTCCAAGGTTGAAAGTGAGGTGGAGTGGTTACCTGAGGCCCCAAATTGGAAGCGGGTCCTTTTGTCTTTCAAACAGCCCACCATACCTCAGATGTTATTCAAGATGAAGGCATTTTTAGCCTCCTTCCAAATCTTTCCCATCAGAGTCTTTGGTGAGGAAAGGGTTATCCCGTTAATAACTAACATGCGAGCCTCCAAGGCGAATGACACCACCTCATTTTCAACCTTGGAAAAGAAAGAGACTGATAGTGGGAGTCAACCAATCTTGCACAGAGAAGAGATACTTAACAGCACAGAAGCTAGCCTCATTAACGCTTTTGGTGCTCTCCCAAGGAAAGAACAAGACAATATATTATTCAAGCTAGAAAATTTAAAGAAACCCTTATTGGTCACAATACATGAGAGGCTGTCACAAACAAGGGGAGGGGGGAAACAATTTTTCAAAGCACCCAAAGGCCAGAAAAGAAACTATGGGTGCATATCAATGTGGATATAAAACAATTTAAAAAAATAAAAGAGATGAGATATTCTTAATTTAAATTTAAATCTTTTTTCATTTAAATCAGCTTTTTTATTCATTTATTTTAATAAAATGCTTTCGGAATAAAAATCTATCTAAAAGATAATTTTCCATTGAAGTTGCATTAATAATTTAGTTTATTCAGCACGAAATGGAGCTTAGTTATGTAGCATGAGGCTGCACATTCTACAATATTGGAACTGTCAGTGAGTCAACACCAGGTCAGAGGAGAAGCTGCTGTGGGACAGAGATGAAGCTGCTCTTTAAAATTAGGATTTAAATCGAGTTGATTTAATCAAGCCTTTTTACTATTGATTTAAATCAACTTGATTTAAATCAAATCCACCCTGGTGAAAACTGATCAAGGAAAGATTCAGACTTGAAATAAGCAGAATTTTAACAGTCAGAACAATCAACCAATGGAACAGCTTGGCTTAAAAAGTTCTGTGAGCTTTATATGAAAACTGTCTGCAATCTGGGCATTTGAATGATTACTCCCAAATTTGTAACCTTACATGCTTTATAAGGCTAAAAGAGTTCTGGTTAACTTCTTTGTTGAGGCATGCCAAAAGCAGGGGGGAGCGGGGTTGGTCACATGAACGCATGCCCACACCCATAATGAGATGCCCTCCCCACACGCATACGCACACAACTCCCCACCCCCCATGCATGCGTGCAGGCCTCACTGAAGCCACCAGACCTCCAGGAGGCACTTTGAGCTGTTTTCTGCCCGCCACAGGCTTCAGGAAAGCCTCCTGAAGGAGAAAAATGGCCCAAAGGGGCCATTGGGCCGTTTTTTTCACCCTACCAAGTCCATTCCCAAAGTTCCGGTTTTTGTATTAGGCAGTTTCTGGCCTCCGGAGGCTTCAGGAAAATACAGTCGAAAATCAGCTGGAGCTGACGGGCCAACGCCTTGCGTGGCCTAAGAAATGGCTCCATGCCATAGGTTCGCAATCACGGGACTAGACGTATAACTGGAATATTTCCCACAATCAGAACATTCCTAAGGTTCCTCTATTGTGTGAGTTTTCCAGTGTCTCGTCAAATCGGAATTCCGACTGAAACTTTTCCCACATTCAAGACATTCATATGGTTTCTTTCCAGAGTGAGTCTTCCAGTGCTTCCCCAGGTCAGACTTGCAACTGAAACCTTTCCCACATTCTGAACACTCATATGGTTTTTCTCCTGTGTGAGTTCTCTGGTGTACTTCCAACTCGGAATTCCAATTGAAACCTTTCCCACAGTCTGGACACTTGCATGGTTTCTCTCCTGTGTGAGTCCTCTGGTGAATTACAAGCTTAGAATTCTGTTTGAAACTTTTCCCACAATCCAGACACTCATATGGTTTTTCTCCAGTGTGAGTTCTATGGTGTATCACCAGGTTTGAATTAAGACTGAACCTTTTCCCACAATCCGGGCACTCATATGGTTTTTCTCCAGTGTGAGTCCTCAGGTGTATCACCAGGTTTGAATTATTACTGAACCTTGTCCCACAATCCAGGCACTCATATGGTTTTTCCCCTGTGTGAGTCCTCCGGTGTATCACAAGCTTAGAATTCTGCTGGAAACCTTTTCCACAATCTGGACACTCATATGGTTTCTCTCGTGTGTGAATTCTCTGATGCATCACAAGCTTTGAATTCTGTTGGAAATCTTTCCCACAATCCAGACACTGATGCGGTTTTTTTCCAGTGTGAATTCTCTGGTGTATCATCAGGTTGGAATTCTGACTAAAGCTTTTTCCACAATCCGAACATTGAAATGGTTTTACTCCTGTGTGTGTTCTTTGGTGTCTCACAAGCTGGGAACTCTGTTTGAAATCCTTTCCACACTCACTACATTTATACGGTTTCTCTCCTGTGTGTGTCCTGTGGTGTACCACCAGGTTGGAATTCCAACGGAAACTTTTCCCACAATCCAAGCACTTGTACGGTTTTTCTCCTGTGTGATTCCTCTTGTGTTTCACTAGATTAGAATGAAAGCTAAATCTTTTGCCACATTGGGAGCACTGGTAAAGCTTCTCTCCAGTATGGATTCTTCCATGAATCATGAGCAAGCTTTTCCGAGAAAAGTTTTTGCCACACTCCAAACATTTGTATGGCTTTTCACTGAATGAATCCAGTTGTGCAGAATCAGACATGATCTGCCATCTGTGTTCTTCCCACATTAGGCGGTCTCCAGGGTTTTTCCAATATTGATATGCTTGGATTTTTGAGATGGCAAAAAATAGTTCTCACCTCTTGCCTGGTGGTTTTTTCGTTCAACTAAAATATTTTGAATGAGGGCTTCTTTTGCACTATAATGCTGTTTCTCATTTTGTCAAGAGTGCTCTTCTTGGCATCCTCTCTCTCTGTAAGATTAATATAAATGGGTTAGTTTCATTATTTTTTTAAAAATGGCTGCAGCACATAGGAAAGCAACAAAAAAAAACACCGCATATATTAGCATGAAAAAACAAACAGCAAATTTCTGTTTTAATCTCTAATATTGCTTATGATAAAGGTAAAGGTTCTCCTTGCACATATGTGCTAGTTTTTCTGACTCTAGGAGACGGTGCTCTTACCCAAAGAGCCAGCGCTATCTGATGACAATTCCATGGTCATGTGACCTGCATGAGTAAACATCAAAGGCACACATGGGATGTGATGTGGGATGTGGCCTTTCAGTAGCTAAGACGCTGAGCTTGTCTATCAGAAAGGTCAGCAGTTCGGTGGTTCGAATCCATAGCACGGTGTAACGGAGTGAGCCCCCATTACTTGCCCCAGCTTCTGCCAGCCTAGCAGATTGAAAGCATTTAAGAATGCAAGTAGAAAAATAGGAACCACCTTTGGTGGGAAGGTAACAGCATTCCATGTGCCTTTGGTGTTTAGTCATGTCAGCCACATGACCACAGAGATGTCTTCAAACAACGCTGATTCTTCGGCTTTGAAAACGAAGACAAGCACCAGCCCCTATAGTCGGGAATGACTAGCAGGTATGTGAGAGGGTAACCTTTACCTTACGTGTGCATGCATATGACCGCGGAAATACACACCTATGAATGTATGTAGACAATCTATGCATATTTCAATATCCAAAATTTCCCAGAGTGCATTTGTTCAAATTGTTTGATCTAAGTTTAGAAAGTGGGGGAGGGGACACTAATAGGTGAAAAGGTGCCCAACTCCTATTCAAGATATAAAGCGTCTGTTTTGCCAGGAAAACCAGATGGCAATAATAAATCACAAGAAATCAACAGGTACGTAAAAGCTGGTGTTTAAAATGGGCGTTTAAGAAGAATGAAATATTATTTTTAAATCGCCCAACAGAAAACCACAGGCAGAAGTTTTAAATCGAGCAGCCCCAGAGGAATAAGATTTGGGAAGGGAAAGAATATGCAGCAAAAGCCACCATGTTTCAGCCTCGATGCTTCCGCTGCTTCTACACCGTGGAGGAACCGAAAGGGCCCGGCTTCCTCCCGGCTTCTCCTCCGACCTTCCCTCCACTCACCTCTCAGGAGCCGCTTCGACCCTCCAAGTGGCTCAAGAGGCTCCGCCGACGCCATTATTCTCCCGTGGCTGAGCCGGAAGAGGAAGTTCCCCTGCCCTTCGCCTCCTCGTCTCTCTACATCCTCTCTAGCTCTATCATTTCAACCCGTCAAATCACAGCCTTCCCTACAATGGTTCAGTCGCCGCTGTAACGAGTGTTACCTCTCCGCAGCGCGCCATCTAGCGACATATGGCGGAAGAACATGCTCCCATGGAACTCATCGATAGCTTTTCTCCCAGAGGATCCATCCCTAAAACATTTCTTTCAGGTCCCCCAAGAGGACATCCATTGTCCCTGGAGCTGAAGCTTCCTTACCTGTTAAGACTGTAGATTGTCTCTTCTGTGATTTTATTTTCTCTTACTTCCCAATTTAGTTATCTCTTACTTACCAATGGATATTCCGGGGCCAATTGGTGTTGCAACCAGACCACCACTCCTATTTCTTTTCCAAGCTCAAGAGAGAGCTGGAAGAGTAATTCCCCTCCCTTCTGGACAGTTAGCATTCTGGCCGGCTTTATGCCTTCAACAGCAGTTTGTAATACATAAGAGAACCATAAAGATATTTTTCTGGCAAAGCTGTTCAAGGTATTGCTGCGGATTAAGATCACTTATAAGTTCAGCTAAAGAGGGCAAACAAAGGTTGAGAGCCTGGGACTTCAACTCACACTCTGCTTGCAGCTCTGACTCCCCCCCCCCCCCGGAGAAAGGGCTGTGCAGGAGGGAAGACACTGGGCCCTTCTCAGTCTGGCTTCAAGCCGGGGCACATCATCTAAATGGCATTGGCTGCAATTCACATGGACTGTTGTTAGGTTTAAGATTGAACGAATAGTCATTATGTCCTTCCCAGATCTTTCATCTAGTGTCAATAAAAATGACTATGACATCCTCCTGGACAGGTTTTGGAGACAGAAAATGGGAGGAGCTTTATTACTGTGGTTCTACCTCTATGCCCGGTTCCA